GAAATGTTCAAAGAGAGGCCCTGAGGATGTGGAGAGGTGCTCTGAAAAAACATCACTTGTCCCTTTTGGCTGTGATAGAATCTTGCAGCTTGTCCTTTCCTTGACCCTTACTGCAAACAGAGCAAAGGGTGGAATTTTCTAGGGGCCTTTCAACAGATATGTCTGATGGAATTCAGGAAATATCCTGATCTCAATTAGCGAAGTCCAACCTCTGCTCAGCCTCTGTAAGTTTTGTTAGCCTTATCAACATCCCTTTGATGTTTGCAAGAAAATATCTTCCCCATACCTGCAGCTAGGCTTCCCTCCACTAGATAAGTTTACTGAGATTCCTCTTTGATATGGAGGTAGCCAGGAGATACACCTGGCCCAGTATGTCTAAGCCCTTATAGAATTGTTACCTGCTTCTTATTGACTGGAACATTTGAACTTATCTATGGAATGTCATGAAATACACGTATGTAGTGTTGCTTTGCTCTGTGAATAAAGGCGCCCCATTTGGGCATCACAAGTTGCTTGGGATGCTTAGGCTTAGGCCACCTGTGCCCATTGCTAGTCTGTCTCTTCGTCTTTTTATTCTGCTTCCTCTCAGATTGAGTTAGGTCTAGGGCAGATGTCGATAGGCCTCATGGTTTCTTGCTTCATAATTTCAGACTACTACTTATCTATGATACCAAAACCAGAAATGACAGTCTGACAACATTTGCAACACAAGAAAATCTCCGTTTGAACTAACCTCCAAGTGCTTCTGTTCTCATATTAATTTAATCTTTTTGATCCACTGACTGCTGACTGAGACATTTCATGAAATTACCCTGCCATATTTATGTATGTTTTGCTCATTCTTGTCCTTAATGGTCTTATTCTCTAATCTCTGATATACAATCCCAACTATTTGTATCCCTCTTTTAAGACTAGTGGATTCTTTCTACTCGTTGCTTTCTATTTCCTTCTCTACTCCTTTTTTTTTTTTTAATTGCCAGAGTGCATGTACACTCACTAGAGAGAAAGAAAGAGGGAGAGGTAGAAGACACTTCTCAATGGGATGTGGTCCCACCACAATCACTTCTCCCTCTCTTCATAGTATTGGGATTTTAGGCACATATGCACATACCTGGTGTGTTTCTCAAGCAGCTAGGGTCAGGATTCAAGCCACAGTTGACCATGTGGAATCCTAAACCCTTAATTACTAGGCTACTGGGAAGGTCCACTTCTCTGCTCATTTGGATGTTTCTAAAACACATGTATGTTATTGTGTCTCTTAACCACGAAATTCCCACACTGGCGTTTTTCTTCCATTTTAGAACTCAAATAAAAGCTTGAGTTTCTTTTTTCCTTTTTTTTTTTTCACAAAAATATATGGACTTTTAAAATGTCAGCTTTTGTGGTACTCAAGATATAAGAGCATTATGGAATATAGTCCAACTTATTCCTGATAGCATAATAATCTTTATGCAAATTCTGGAAGCCAGAGCTTCTACATGGTTCAGAAATATCTTTTCAATCACCACTAAGTATAACAGGTTTTTCAAAGCACTTACTGGGCTTAAGCCTATGAGCCTTGAGGTTTAAAACATAGTAGCAAGCCTCAGTACCAAATCTGAAAGGACCCCACAACTTCCCATCACGATAAAAGGATATTCTCTGCATCATATTCTAGCTGACTGCTTGGTCTTAGTTAAATACCTGTAATATATGTCTGTTTATCAGATACCCAGCTCAGAGGACTTCTATAGCCCTGGGTTAATGCATTTATTCCTCTCTTCTATTTCAGGATGGGGAGATGATATTACTTGGGTGCAAACTTATGAGGAAGGTCTCTTTCATGCTCGAAAAAGGTAATATGTCTCTTAGTCCTCAAAAAAGACTTCTATGAATAATTATATACCAACAAATTGAATAACTGGGCTGTCAATGTAATGTCATGCTCTGCTAAGGCCATGTGGGTGGTCCTTGGTTCATGCCTCAAGGTCTTTCTGTATGCACTGGGCACATGCAAATGTCCTTGATTCGGGCTGGCTGAAGTTAGCAGATGGACTGCAGCATGAAGATCCTGTTGAGAGTGCCTTTCTTTTTTTTCTCTTCTTATTTCTCTCTACTTCTCTTTCTGTCTGTCTCCCTCACTCATGGGAGAAATAAATAAAACAAGCAAAAAGAAATGAATAACCTAGAATAAATGGAGAAATTACTAGACACATACAACCTATCAATACTGAATCATGAAGAAATAGAAAATTTGAGGAAAGCAGTAATGACTAAGGAGGGTGAACTTGTCATAAAAAGGCTGCAGTTACAGAAAAATCCCAGACCTGATGTCTTCACTGATGAATTATACCCAACATTTAAAGAAACTAACATTGGGGGAACCAGCAGTTAGCATAATGGCAATGTTGCTGGACTCCCATGTAGCCGACCGTGGTTCGAGTCCCAGACCTGGTGGCTTAAACTCACGCTGGGCGCATGTGCGTGTGTGCCCAAGATCCAGAGAGGAGAATGGAGGAAAAGCAATTGTGGTGTGGCCATCCTCCCCGGGGGTGATTTCTCACTTTCTATCTCTCTGTCTCTCTCTGTCTTTCTGGTGAGCACACATGCCCTATAGCAAAAACCTTTTAAAAAAAAAAAATAAAAACCTAACATTAATCCTTTTGAATGTTGTCAAAAGAGAGAAGAAAACAAAGTATAAGAAAACAAAGCTGCAGACAAATTCCCTGATGAACATAGATGCAAAAATCCTCAACAAAATGTCAGCTGAGGGCCAGCAAGTGACATGGTGGTTAAGGTCCTAGATCTCACATGACCAATGTTGATGTTCAAGTTCCAGACTCAGTTGGTTGAAAACCATACCAGGTTCATGTGTCTGCATACCCCAAATCTCAAGAGAATAGAGGAGAAGGAATTGTAGCATGGCCATCCTCCTCAGGGTTGGGTGGGAAAATATCTCACTTTCACTCTCTCTTTCTTCAGTGAGCACACACATCCTATGGAAAAAAATCTAAAAAAAAGAAAAGAAAAGGTCAACTGAATTCAATACCACATAAAAGAATCACATGCCATGATCAAATGAGATTTATCCCAGGGAT